GATATGGGCTTCAGAAATGGGCCTTCGGACTCGGAGTTAGCTGGCAGCAGTCGGGATGTGCGTGACCGCGGGGAATGGGTGGCTGGCCGCGGTCGGGATGGTTGTGACCGCGGGGAATGGCCTCTTGGCCTCGGGTGGAGACGCTTGTCGGCTGGTTTACGGGACATCTTGCTCTTCGCGTATCTTTTGATTGAATCGTTGGATTGCCAAGTTGTAAAGTGTGCTGGAAAGCCGATACTTCCATCTTTAAGATCTCCAAATTTGAGCTGGATCAGACGGTGAGAAGGCCTTCAATTGGGGGTGAACTTCTGACGGTTTGACTCTGAGCTAAAATCTGGTTTTCTATCCATTTTATTAAGCTTTTTCCTAAGTTACCTAAAAAGATTATTGGAACTACAAATACTAGAAAAACGTTATAAAAGTAATTGAAAGCAATTAAAAACATAGAAAAAATGTTTCAAAACGATCCATAAAAGTGGTCAAAATACGGTGTTATCAGTTCTCATCTTTGAAGATTTCCATGAGTTGTGTGGATCCACATAAGCATAGACAAGCCAATGTGAACAAACAAACTCTAGCCATTGTGTCATTCACCCCGTCAACTAGTAACTTTTATCAGAAGGATTCAACATTTTCTTGTTTAGGATATGAGAAAACTAGGAAAAGAGGAATAAGAAAGAAGAGATTTGCTTTTGATTCAATAAAGAGCTCTATTTCTCCACTCTCGACTCTTTTTCTCTATATATTTTCTATATATTCAAAGGGCTGAGTCACGTGGGTTTTTTTATTTGATTAATCTCAATCACTCAATTGTATAACAGTTTTCAAATTTTTTTGCTTCTCTCTTTCCGTGAGTAATTTGGGTAATAATTTTTCACCAGAAGTATAATGTTCAAAGTTGTTGTCAAGGACATTTTCTAGCAGATAAAAGGTACTCAAATTTGTCAATAGCTCATTTTCTCTTTTATGTAGGCTAAAAGTTGCGACGACTATCCTGATTTTTCCCGAGAAGTATATGTTCTTTTTATTTTACACAGGGTCCTTATATGTAATTTTATTTAATTTTTAGACATAGTTTTGAAAATTTTAAGAGACCCACGCTAATCTCTATTAAAAAAAATTATATATATTTATACATAAAAAAGTAATCCCAGATTTTTTGAGATCCCAACAGTGTTAAAAAAAAAATCTGCTTATTTTTGTGTAAGGCTGAAGAATTAATTTAAAGAATGTCTCTAAATTTTTTATGAATCAAAAATAAATAAGTTAGTTTCTGGCGTAAATTTGTTTTGTTTAAGTTACTTTAGAGTTTAGAGACTTTAATTTCATCATCATGACCTTAACACTACAAGAAAACATTTGATTCCCAATAACCATATCTGTCGTAAATCTGTCTGAAACAGCATATATATATATATATATATATATATATATATATATATATATTAAAAAAAAAGACAAGGAGAAAGAACTGCATTAACTGCACAATGTTTTATGTTTGTTCAAAATAATTCATTGTAGTTTTAATTTTTATGACTCCTCTTTTACAATAGACCAAGAATAAGATGTGCTAATACGATTGCATTCAAAAAAGCCATGACATGACGAAAAATTCAAAATACATCACCACAAGTTTAACTATGATGGAGAATGGACTAGAGAAAAGTTTATAAAAGAACAAGGGATCATCAATTTTGGTGGAGATATCCTTCCCAGATCGACCCAAACCAGTCACATTCGACTATGGAACCATATAACACGATTATGGGGATATCAATAGAAGTCCCACATTAGAAGTTTAGACAAAGATTGTCTAATATCTAATTATGTCCAACTCTCCTTTAATATGATATTGTCCGTTTTAAATCCAAATGTAAAAATCCACACAAATTTACTTTTGATTTTCTTCCCAAAAAACATCATGGTAGAACTTGGATTGATATCCAACAATTCTCCTCTCAAACCAAGAATCAGCCTCTCAACCACGTAGACAGCCACCAAACTCATCCCAACATATTTGTATAAGTTGGTTCTCATCTTTAAAGATTTCCATCAGTTGTGTGAATCCACATAGGCATAGATAATCCAATATGAATCTCAAACTCAAGCCACTGTGTAACAGGAGCATCTCTCTCTAGAGTCGAAAATTTTCTAACTACGCGTGGTCACACCATTTCCATCAACGATGTCTTGGCTTTTATTGGCGCAAAAATCTCATCCAACTACTACAGTTCTATCAGAAAGAATCAATATTCTTTTGTTTAGATGTACCGGTTTTTACACTTATGTCAAAAAATAGCTGATGAATGGGCCAAATTTTAACACAATATTGGACAATGTATTCTGCTTACCATTTATCAAGTAAACAATTTTAGTGCAGTCTTATCTTTCAAATTAGCGAATACTATATAAATACATTTATTTGTTACTACTTCAGTATTTCATAGAGAAATATATCAACAATGAATATAAAATCAGTGTTTTTGGATAGTTTGTAATATCAATCATCATCTCACATAGGATAATATGGTAAAAACAAAATTAAAAAAAAACATGTGCATTCAACACCATGGTCATTTTGGATGATTCTATCTATGCCACTGATATCAAACATTTTAAAGAAAAAGGATGTTCTGTGTTTCCTCCCAAAGGCAGGAACTTGAAGCGTCTTGTTTTTATTGGTTCATTTAGGAATACATTCTAACTAAAGGAGTGCCAAAACTTTTGGATTTAGACCAGATCTAGTTTTTGTTTTGTTATAGATTTTATTGTTATCATCAGGACAAAATAACTACTTAAAGCTTGGAATTATGATGGTGATTTTCATTTTTACATACGTTATGGACAATTAACTATCAATCAAAGATAACTAATATGATCTCTTTCACCGACTTAGTTTCACTGATTTACTTTTACTACTTTATAAGTTAATAACTGCCAAGTGTATATTCCTATTACTGTAAATAAAATCATTTATCTTCCTATTTAATCATTTCCACTCACTTGCAAATAATAAGTGTGTTTTATAATTGGGATGGATTATTTCTTTAACAAGTTGTCTGAAGGGATGTATAAACTCATCTAAAGCAACCCGTAATAATAATAAATAAATAAAATCATTACCACATTTATTATGGGAAAATCACATTTTTAACCTTGAGGGATTAAAAATGTAACACTTTAAACCTCGAAGGATTTTCACTAGCATAATAAACCTCCAATCTAATTTCATTAACACATTAAACTTTGTAACTTGAAGATTTTTTCGCACCGCCGGAAAACTTAACGAAACAGTAACTGTCCGTGACAAAACAGTTAACTCCCATAACTTATTTTAAAACATGCATAAATTTAATTAGTTTTTTAATCAATCTCTAAATTCATGAATTAAATTAAATGAATTAAAAAAAGTCGCAGAAGTTAACAAATTTATGAATTAAATTAAATGAATAAAAAAGAAAAAAAAAAGTCGTAGAATCATCAAATACGTAATCAACTGTCTTCTCTTTCCCAGCCTGAATTGGAGCATGCAACTTTGCATCAAACCTGAAGAAGAAAGAAACACGGAATGAAACCCAGATTTCGAATATCAAACCCGAAAACCAAACATAGACATCGAAAATTATAAATCTCAAACCCATAAATTGAAACCATCAGACATAGATAGAAAGAAGAAATCGACGAAGAAAACTGGAAAGGCCTTTGAGCGGCATCTTTCTTTTCTTCCCTCTCTCTCTCGAGCTCTTTCCCGGCGACTCTTCTCCTTCTCCGGGCAATCTTCTTTCCCCGGAGAAGGACCCCTCTTTCTCTTGGCTTTTCTTTTTTTTTTTTTTTTTATGGCTTGTGCTTCTTCGGCGGTTTTGTGCTCTTCTCTCCCAAGTTGGTGGCGGATCTGAGTTTCTGGGAGAGGCTACGGCAGCTCTGTTGTAGATCGACGGTGGTGGTGCCAATGAGGATCCCAGATCTGATGAGGACAAGATCGGGTGATGCTTCCTCTGGCTCCGCTCCTTCCTTTCTCGACTGTGCTCTCCTTCTGGTCTTTTCAGGGTGCTCCCGGCAGCTTTTTCATTGGCTGTTGTAGCAGGAGGTGGCGTTTGATGCGGCGGTTAGTGTTTCAAAGCTTGTCCCTCCGAGACCTCACGAGTAAGATTGTTTGTTTGAGGACGCAGACGGGTTCGTGAAAGGAGATCTCCAAGGGTGGCTGTCTTTTGGCTTTCTTCGGATTGGTGCATATTCATATTCTAGGTGTCTGCTCTTCTCTCCGGCTTTCTTTGCAAGGTTGGTGGCTCTCTCCAGATCCAGTTCCAGGTCTTTCCGGCGACTCGTTTCCCGACGGCGGATGTGGCGGCGGCTGCTGCAGGGTCGTTTTCCTTTAGGGTTTAAGTGTCTCCGGTTTAGTCCGGTTTATAGCTTCTTGGTTTAGTTGTTTACTTAACCAATTCCGTTGGGCTTTTGAGCCTGTTTATTTTTATGTTTGTAATCCTTTTTAATATCTATTCAAAAAAGCCCTTTAACAAAAAAAAAAGAAGAAGAAATCGACGAGTTAAATACAAAATTGAAACTATCGGACATAGGTGGAAGAGAGAGGCAAAATCCTTACCCCTTTGACTTAATTGCATCTGATTATTTCTTCAATTTCAGTTTTCTGGGTTTCACAAACCCTAATTTTGAAATGAGGGTTTGACTTTACCGATTGATTTGGGGATTTTGACTTATTTTTTTTCTTTTTTATTCATTTAATTTAATTCATGAATTTGGAAATTGATTAAAAAACTAATTAAATTTATTCACGTTTTAAAACAAGTTATCGGAGTTAACTGTTCCGTCACGGATCGTTACTGTTCCGTCAAGTTTTTTGGCGGCGCATAAAAATTTTCAAGTTCTAAGATTTAATGTCTTAGTGAAATTAGATTGAATGTTTATTATGCTAGTGAAAATCCCTTGAGGTTTAAAGTGTTACCTTTTTGATCCTTCGAGGTTAAAAATGCGATTTTCCCCATTTATTATGTAGAACCAGGCTCTTTTGTACAAACAATTGTAGTAGCTTTACATTTGTGTTACTAATTTTAATAGAAACAAGATACTGTATAACGCTACCATTTTTGTTGAAAGATAGACGACTTGTGGTTTCTTTTGTATGCCCCCTCCTTCGAATGCTGTTACCACAATTTAGTTCTGGACCAATTGATGGTCTCGAAGGTCCGTCGAAAACATTCAAAAGTCAAAAGGTTTTCCCATGAAGTAAGTAGATGGTTAGACAGAAGTGGTAAACTTGTGTTTGGAGACATATCTCCGTTGCTTTGCAGGCGACAAACCTTCGATATGGGACCAATACCTTCTTTGGGCAGGAGATACTGCTACCTCCTGAAGACTGAGTGAAGAGAGCATAGAGAAGAGATCCCCTTCAGAACCATCTCCTCACATGTTTTAATTCCTAAAACATTCTTCAGAATATGCTCGGTGACCTTCCCGATTCACCCAATCTGGTAACCAATTTCCAACTTGCATTTCAGAAAAACTATGATGGTTTTGACAACTCATAAAGAACCAACCCCCCAGCCATCATAAACAGTGCGAGGAGTTTCAAGTTCTATGTTGGTATATCCAGTGCTACCAAATATACTAAGTTTCTACTGAGTATACAATCCCACATACGTAAATGCAACATCATCTGCATTTCTATGCAGCAAATTTAATGACCTAGGGAATAACTGGAGTGATAGTTTCTCTACATAGACTTTTCAGAACAGATACTATTATTGCAAAGGAACGACAGCCAACGCAACAATTCGGGATCACATACCTTTCTAATTGGAAGGGAAGATATGAATGTCATGACAGTTGATCGATAGATCATCATTTTGTAGAACAAACTTTCCATTACGCTTGTTTATGTTTGAGCAAACCTGAAATATGGAAGGGATCATTCAGAAAACAAACTCTGGAATACATTATTATAGACCACACAGAAAAATGTGCATGCAGAATCAAGAAAAGAGATAGATTTGGGCGATATATATATATATATATATATATATATATAATGTAATGCACAGATAGGGAGAACCTTGGCAAGCAAGCGGTTTGCCACATTGAAGCTGGAACTAACGCTAGAAGGATGTAAACCACAGACACATCCAGTATCTCTTGCAGTTTCATTGTGAACTTTGATAAATCTGAGCATAAAGCATAAATATTGTAGAGAGTAATAAGTAGAGAGGAAGTGATTAGTGCCTTAATGAAAGTCCAATTCTGATATGCACCAAGGGACCATGGATTAGGACTAACAAGACGTCTTAGTATCCCGTGAGGAACACTTTTCCAAGGTAAGTATGATGTAAGTCCACACCACCACCAATCACTGGAACACAACTGTAATCTGCTAGAAACTCGCGTAGTCATATTCTGCAATCACAAGGATACCAGTGATCCTGAGGTTCTTGCTATGATAAAGAAATACTATTTAGCCAGATTTTAGTTTAAGCTCATAGTTAAAATGAACACTAAGGTTCCTTACCAGCTCCTAATCTCCAAGATCATGCTTTCCGGCTTTCAAGTAAGGTAAGCAGAATTTGAATGAAAAAGCCAAACCGAACATTCCATTTGCAAACACCCAAGCAGTAGTTACAAATGTAAGATATGAGCTTCTTAGGGAAGCATGGTCTATGTAAGTGATTGGAAACCAAAATCATGAGCTTTTAAGGGAAGCTCATGTAACAATGTACTATTGAAACAAACTAAGGCTTTTCGAAGTTATATGTAAGCCTGTAAGAAACTGATCAGATGAATATGCTCCTAGAGGATTGAATTTAATTAGCGTCTGAAAAGGCAATCAACTTTTTTAACAACAATCTTACCCACAGAGCAGAGACACCAATAAGTGGGAACTCTGTTTCTCAACGGTAGACAAAAAGGTGTTATCTTGGAAATTTGCCAATTGGATCTCTAATGTCAATTAAGATTTAAGACCAACAAAAAAGGGATATAACTATGAACTGAATCTGAGCACAAATCTATGTATATGAAGAGCACATCCAGATTTATTGCAAAAGAGATGGAAACCAACTGGAGGGGGAAGAAAGAACAATATATAATCTTGGAACTCCTCTTGACTGAAGAAAACTTGCCACCAAGATCCAAAAGGAAACTCGAGAAGAGCTCAGATTATATTGTACGAGAAAATTACCCTAATTTCTGACTCCCATTTGAATTCAAGCCAATACTTCACAAAGTCGATGTAAATCATCGTCAATTCTCCATTTTTTTTGTGTTCGAAGAACTTTTAAAGTTTCCATCTTTCTTCTTCTGGGTTTGTAGACGTTTCGTGATCAATGGGCAAAGAACGGACCGAGGAAATGATTGGTAAATAAAGAGGGAGTCAAGTCCCACATCGGTAAGTTGGCAAAGGTTGGTCATAAGCTTGTCATTATAAAAACGAAGCCGAGCATTAATTTCAAATCATACCTTTCTCGGCCTTTTGGCTAAGATCAAGTGTAGTATCTGTTCTTATCAGTTTAATATCTGATATGTGGGCCATCGGCTCACACGATGTTAACTCTATTTTTTAAGGGAAAAAGCCCGTCAAGATAGCTTGCTATCTGGACTTTCATGAGTCGCCCATGCGTTGCACTACTGCACGGGCCTGGCTCAACCCGCCAAACTAAGAGTTAAATTATTAAATCTAACTCTGTTAGAAAATCGTCAGGAAAAATTAAAAATATGTAAATAGGCTTGAATAAGAGTTTGATATGATGTCGGATCCTCCATCATCCAAGAAAATAATAACCTCTCGATCCATACTTTGAAAAATTGACTGCCTCCGGATTGCCTATGTGGCTTATACTGAGATTGATGAAGAGGAGGAGATCAAGTTAAGGAAGAGCTTTGCTTTCAGACCACATAAGAATTGGTTACTTGAGATACAAGAAACTATCTAATTATTTTATGTGATTGGTCTTGTGGTGAAACTAGGCAGAAGATCTTGAGAAGATACAGAGATAACCACAATCACACCCGCAAGTGAAAAGCATTGTGATCTGGTTGGCTTGGAAAGAAGAATGCTACAAAATGTGTCTGACCGATAACAGCTTCAAGAACGTAGCTACTAGAGATACTGTAGACTAGCGTATCCGGGAATGGGGCGGTTTAAGTACATCCTTAACCGGGAAAACAGACGGTTTGGGCTCTTTCAAACCCTCTCTCTACCATGGAGACTACGAGCTTCAAATCACTTCTCCTCTCCACTCTCTTGACTCTCTCATTGCGTCCACAAGCTTCAGCTTGGGATTTGATGCTCCTTCGATTGTCGATATTAAGGTTAAATGAGAAGAAAGTGAAGAAACAGATTTAAAAACCGAATAACATAAGATTATAAATTACTGAACAGTTTCTTAAGTTTCATAGATAACAAAAACTTTTCATCATCATCATTTGTTGGACTTGAGCCATTCAAGAATGCGTTTCTCAGACTCAGTGAGCTCTGCTTCTGTCTTTCCCTTTATAGATCCTTCAACAAACTCAAAGTAGTCTTTATAATTCCTCTTGTAATAACTGTCCAATCTCTGTTTAATTATCCAAAACATTAACAAGAAACCATCAGAAAAATTTAGACAAAAGACAAAAATATGAGTTTATGCAAATTTGGTAAATTCGGTGTTTCTTTACCTCCTTGTCGTTCTTGGTTCTGTTTTCCTCAGTCTTCTTCAAATACTCTGAAACCATTCTTCCCCAAACAAACGACGTAGTTTAGACAAAATTAAAGAAACATCAAAATGAAAGAAACACAGATTAAGAATTTCTAATTTACTCTGGAGAAGCTGGTCGCTGGTGGTCAAAGCGGCAGCGAGGAAAGAGGAGGAGGAGAAGAGGATGTTTCGGCGTCCTAAATCAGTGGTTGAAGCGGTTAAAGAATCGCGTTTGATTTCGTTTCTGCGTACTGCTTGAACATTAGAGGAAGCGTATTTGTTAACTGTTACTGTTAAAGCCATGAGAATGCTTTGGCCTATGGAACTCATCTTCGAACTCTTGACTTCACCAGAAGATAAGATTTTGTTTTAAGCGTCTTATCTACATTACATTACAGAGACCAAACATCTTCTTATTTTCTTACAAAAGTCTCTAACTATGTCATGTTATAAGATAAACCCACTAATCTATTAAAAATAGCTATCGAACCCAAACAAATAGTATTTGTAGAGACCAAACCGGTTTAATAAACACAAAAAGAAGAGAAGGATAAGTTAATCTTTTACCGTTAAGAGAAGCAACAAACATTCAGACCAAAAAAAGAGATGCAAACATCTTCTAATTTATATAAAAAGATCCCTAACTATGTAATTTAATAAGATCAACCTTATCTATTAAAAAAATCAAAGCCAGACAAAAATTTGAAGAGACGAAACCGGTCAAAAAAAACCGAACCAATCTGGTTCGATGAGATTCGACTGTACTTACATCTTCTTCATCTGACGACAGCAAAAATGACAAGCAATCCCTAAAATCGCCTCAAAAATCCCAAAGAAAACATAAGTTCGTTTTAATCAGCTTCTTCTTCTTCTTCATCGGTTGCTCAATCGGAAATGGCGACTTCTCTGGTCTCTCCTCTTACTTCACAACTCAACCATGAAGCTGTCTCTCCCAAGTTTGTGCTTCCAAAATCACCGTTCATGTCGGGATCCAAGCTCTTCTCCTCGAACATGCCTTGCTCTACTGTTCCTCGACGCACAAGAAGATTAAACTGCTTCGCTTCTGCTAAAGATATGAGTTTTGACCACATCCCAAAACAATTTCGAGGAGACAACCTCAAAGATGGAGGTTTTTCCTTCTCCCTTAACTTTTACTTTTGTTCCCTTTCGGATAGATTTACTCTTCGGTCTCAAATTTATCCGTTCTTTGGCTGTGTTTGTTGATAAATTGGGTCATAAAGTTCTGTATTTTACTCTGATTAGCTTACACGAAGTAAAAATTCTGGAACTGATAGGCCTCGGTGACCAGTTTAGCTTCTGTACTACTAAGTGTAGTAGGACGAAGAATTTGTAAATCGATGAAGCAAAGATGATTTCTTTGTGGTTATATGTGCTCTACCAATTTTAACAAAGTGAAAGCCTTTATAAGTTGTTGCGTGTGTAATGGAATTGTGAAATATATTAGTTTGATTGATGCAATTCTTGGTTGGAATGAAAATTGTGTTATAAGAGAACAAAATTCGAAACAAGCGGTAAATAGAAGTAAGAGAATATATCGCAGTCTCTAAATATTAGTATCTGATATCTATGTTCCTTGCCTTTTTTCTTTTAGTGATGCAGAACTTCAAGAATGTACCGCAATATTTTTATGGGCTTAATCCAGCTCAAATGGATATGTTCATGACGGAGGATAGCCCTGTCCGTAGGCAAGCGGAAAAAGTTACAGAGGTTATTTTCTTCTTCTCAATCCTTCTTATCAGTCCTTCCAGATCCTGGAAACAACTAAGAGGAGAACAAAGTTGCTTCTCAATTATATGAATCTTATCTTGTCTATTGGTGTGCTTCTTTGTTAACAGGAAAGCATCTCGTCTAGAAGAAACTATCTGGACAATGGAGGAATATGGAGTATGTCTGGTATGAATGCAGCAGATCCTAGAAGGTATAGCATGAGTGTCCAAATGTACAGAGGTGGAGGCGGTGGAATATCTGAAAGACCAAGAACTGCTCCTCCAGATTTGCCTTCTTTGCTCTTGGATGCTCGGATATGCTACCTTGGCATGCCAGTAAGGCCTTCATGTGTTGATTACTTGTTTTTAAACCCCTTTCTTTGCCATTATGTTTCCTCTCTGCTCAGGCATTGGTCTTGCTCATTTACTTGCAGATCGTACCTGCAGTTACTGAGTTACTCGTTGCTCAATTTATGTGGTTAGACTATGACAACCCATCAAAGCCCATCTACCTATACATAAATTCACCCGGGACTCAGGTCAGTACAAGAAGTTTGGTTATATATTGTTTGTTAATGATATTATCTGGACAACCCTCTTGATACCTTTAACGAGCTGTCTAATCAGCTACTTCCTTTTGGTAATGCCATGTAGAATGAGAAGATGGAGACTGTTGGCTCAGAAACAGAGGCTTATGCCATAGCTGACACCATTTCTGTAAGTCATCTCTTTAAAAGAATCTGTGCAACCTCTGGTTCAAATGTCCAATCACGAAGTTTGTTTTGCTGATTTTGTCACTGAATTTTCTTTCGATAAAGTAATTGTCTCTATTTTTCTTGTGTGGCTTGAAAGTATTGCAAATCAGATGTATACACTATCAATTGCGGCATGGCTTTTGGTCAAGCAGCAATGCTTCTGTCTCTTGGGAAAAAGGGTTATCGTGCCGTACAGCCACATTCATCAAGTATTGTTCTCTTCTCTCAAACATCTGATTTAGATCATTATATGCATAGTGTTACCTATTATCCACTTGTGGAAGCTTCTAAGTTTTGATGGTTAATGGTGCAGCAAAATTATATCTGCCAAAAGTAAACAGATCGAGCGGAGCTGCAATAGATATGTGGATAAAGGTAGCAACTCACATTCTTTTATCCATTTTATGTACTTCCCCTCAAGTTCTTCACCTGTACTGTAATGAATAATCCTCTTGTAGGCCAAGGAACTTGATGCAAATACTGAGTACTACATCGAGCTGCTAGCTAAGGGAACAGGCAAATCCAAAGAGCAGATCAACGAGGACATCAAGCGACCGAAATATCTCCAAGCACAAGCAGCCATTGACTATGGAATTGCAGACAAGATAGCTGACTCGCAGGATAGTTCCTTCGAGAAACGGGTAACTTTCAGATTATACTTTATATTCAACGAAATAATCTTTGGTGTTGGCTTCATTCATGCTAAAATGGAAAATACGTTTGGATTTAGGATTACGATGGGACTCTTGCACAGAGAGCCATGGGAAAAGCCGGAGGAGGCAGTCCAACAGCTCCAGCCGGACTAAGATGATCAACTCACCAGAAGAAGAAAAGGAAGCTTAAATCTCAATTTGCCTAGTCACTCTGGAATATGTAGCTGTTACAATCTATAAGCAAACCCATGTAGTATTAACATACAAAAGTGTTGGCAAAAAGAAGAAATAACATACAAAAGTTTTCTAGGTGGAAGCTTGTTTTGTGGTACATATACGTATCTCTCTAGATGCAAGTTTATCACTCTGGAAAAACCGAGTTTTGGGTCTTGCGGGTTCTTCAGAAAGAAGGGAAGAATCGGTTAAGGTTATAAGGCAATGCGTAAAACTCATCGGTACGAGTATCAGTGTGGTAGACTCTGAATTTCTCCCACCAATGTCTTCCACTGTCTCTCCTCACTGAGTCGTGTCCATAGCTATGAGTACAGTCCAACAAGAATGCCGCCATGATCCCAACCGTTGCAGCAGAAGAGAATATCACTTGCATTATCACATTGAACTTCATCGATGGCAATACCATCAAAACAAATCAGTACACAAGATTAAACATACATGAACTAACGATGTAAAGTTTCTGTTTTGCTTGGACACTTACAGCGGAAGTACGAGTGTGGACAGGTCCACGACCAGAGACGAATAGATATTCGGTGAAGTATTGTGCGACAGAGAGACCGATGAAGATGGAGAAGCCTAGGATGAATTTAGTCCTGAAGCTGTTTAAGTTGCAGAACTGAAGAAGGCCAAGTCCAGCAGAAGCTGTTCACAAGTTCCTTTGTTTAATAATCTCAATCACATTTACAGAAAGCTAGAAAGATCAGAAGGGAGTTTAATTCTTGAGTTATACATACCAACATATGCGAATAGAACACAGTACAAGGCAGCAAAGATCGGTAATGGTATTGATGCAAGAACAGCTCCAAACTTCCCTGTTTTCAACCAAGTTTTTAACTGTCAGTTACTAAAAAAAAGACTGATTGTTTCCGAGTTGTTTATTGAGCAGTACCGAAAATGGAGAAGAAGATCATGAAAGCTGCTGATATCTGAACAACTCTTCTGCTCCCAACTTTTGTTAGTCCAAGAAGCCCTGCATTTTCACTACACATGACAAGAACAAACAAAAATAACAGAGTTCAAGATCCAGAATCTGAATAAGAAGCCTTAGAACGAGAAGAGACTGATTCCATTACACTAAAGCTGTGGAACCAGTCGCAGTTCCAAACAGTCCATCCAGCAAAACGCCTACGCCCTGTTTTTGTTTCAATTTTCCACAAAGCACACACATCGGTTTCTCCATATATTAACATTAGTCTTTAAATCAAATCATACTTAAATTTGTTTATACCTGCCATCCGATGCCACGGCTAAGCACCGAGGGAGGGATATGTGTTGCGCTACCAAATCTCGAAGCTGCGATGAATGTACCTGTCGTCTACTCCATTGAACAACGATGAACAAAACAAAAGTCACCTTTTAGAAAGAAAAAAAAGACATCTTTGAATTGAGAGATGTTAACAAAAAAAACCTCGACAATCGCCACGTAAGTAGCAGCCATCATTGCGAATGTATCGCTTCCATGAAAACTTGGACGTCCCCATTGCAATGGGTATGGAATTTTCACCCTAAGAAATGAATGGAAAACAAATAATAATCAGAAAAAATCTTCTGTTTTAATCTTGAAACAGAGGAGATTTTAATGATAGATGGAAGATTATCAGACCATGGAGAAGCGCTAATGAGACCGGACCGGTCTGTTCGACAACTAAGCTGTGTACTGTCAGGTCTTTTATCGTAAGCTCCAGCTGCTGTCAGAACCTCTGCATAAGCCCAGACGATCGCTACTGTGAACAGAACAGCGAATTGCTCGCATATCGATCTCTTACACTTGAACAAGTGAGGAAGATACTGGAGAATTGTAGCACACGCAACATTTAAACAATCATTTGTCAGAGACTCAGAATTGATGGGTTTTTTTTTAAATATAAAATCTCATTAAATTAACAGAAACCTGAGATAAAATTATAAGTATGATCAATGCTGGGAGTCCAACTTCTACACACCTCGCAAGCTACAAACAGAAACTAAAAACATGAACATAGTCCTCTCAGCCAAAACCCTAAAAGCCGATCTTGCTGTTAATCTTGAATCATTTACCTGAGGAAACGCGAACGCGACAAGGCCAACGCCTGTAAGAATCACGAGAGGAGCAGCCGAAAGTGGGGTAAGAAACCTGAACTAATTTTATAAACAAAAAGATTAGGGCTTTAGTTTACTTGTTACACAAGTAATTGTATAACAATAAGCTTTTAGTTTTTAGTTTTTCTCGCCAGACCTGACCAAAATTCTCCACAAGCCGAAGAAACCCATTATCATATGACATATAGAAGCAATGATTAGAGCTCCTTGAATTGCTCTCATTGTCTCTTCAAATCTCTGTATACATTAATAACTTTCAATTTATTTCTGATTTATTTCAAATTGTAAATGTTTTTAAAGAATAAAGAAAAATGGGTTCTCTTTGTAATTTAACCAGATGAGGATGGAGATAGTAAGTGAATCTGTAAGAGTAAGTGATGTAAAGAGCAGGGATGACGTAAGCATAAGAAGCTCCGATGACGACAGGAAGTCGAGTTCCGAACAAACTCTGCAATAACGTGTTAATCCCCGACACGAACAATACTGTGTTTATCACTTCTGCTTTCTCCACCTGAAAATGACGTCATTTCAATTTTCCTCAGCTTTCGTTGTATCAACCAATAGATAGTTGTTTATTATAATGAGGGTTAATGCTTACGTCACCACCGCCCATGAGAGGAACGAGTATGGAAGGTATGATTACAGTAGTTCCAAGCATTACAATATAGTGTTGAAACCCTTGAAGTATGCCTTCAGCTGCATCATTATTATTAATCATATTAAACCATAAGTATTAATCTGCTATCGTTGACAAATTAAACCATATTGGTGATGATTTAGTATATCTAAAATTAATGAATAGAGACATGATCTTTTTTTTTGTTAAAGTGAATAGTGACATGATGAAATCTTGGAATAATTAAAAGAGAATAGAGGAACACTTGCAATCTATAAATTGTTGTTGAATGATCATGACACGCTAATAAACTACTTCTTGTAGATTATATGGCTTTTCATTTTCTCAACTTGTAAACATATATATAATGGAATCGTAGAAACTAGAAAATTGTGGAAATGGTAAAAAAATAGCAGAGTTACGTACGTCTTCACGTTTCAAAACTGAAAAGTGAAAACGTTAGCACATTGAAACGAATGTAAACAAGCCAATTTTCATCACCATTGCCAGTAACACAATTAAATTTAAGTGGTTATACACAATTCGAGTGCTATAATTAACAAGTAAAACACAAGTAAAAACGAAATGAAAAGAAAAATGCTTACGCCAATTTGGTGAGCTCGATACACAAAATTCGACTCCTGGAAGCTGATCTTTGACTGGAAATGGTGCAAAATCATCGGTCTTTGTCGCCATAACTCAGACCTGTCTCTAATGCAAACCGTTTATGAAAAAAAACTGTCTGTAATTTTACTCCGAGAATTTCTACTCTCTTTGAGAGAGCTATAAATTCAAAGCTTTGCTTAAAATGGATTCAAAAGTGCTAAGCGTTAGGCGGGCAACTCTGTTGACTCTTTTTTTGCTTTCTTGAATTTTCTCTATTGTGTTATCGTGCACGTAATTAACACTAATGCAATACTTAAAAAAAAAACGAATCGGATTTAACCGCTGGTTCAACTTAACCAGATGTCGTCACACTTGTCTTTTTTTTTGTGTGTGTTCCGACGGCATTTACCCACTTGTCTCTTTTTTTTTTTTTGATCGATTACCACCACTTGTCTAAGAATATGATGTCAAATATTTTCATAAATCTAGCAAATTATTTTCACCTTAATGCCCAAAAAGTATACAACTAACTCCATCCACCATTTAAACATTCTATTCGTTCTTTTAAGCATGATGTATAGTTATGACTAATTGGTATGACTTCTTGTTGGTTTGATTAAAATAAACCAATAAGATTATCAGTGAATTTTTAGCAAGAAAAACAAATATTAGTGAAAGAAATCGATAATCAATGAAAAACACAAGAGGTCGATAGCTCAACTGAAAAAAGTACTTTAGAGCACATGATCGAGTAGTTGGGAAGGATAATAATATTAAAAGTTGGTCTATGCCTAGAGGATGTACGGGATTCGGTCCGGAACCTCCTATAGCTATCTTAATGAAAAACGAGATATATATATATCATAATTACAAATATATATTAAAATTACAAATATATATATTAGATTACATATATATTAGATTACGATAGAGCCATAACTTGGATATTTACAGAAAAAAATATTTTAAAACAAATTTTTATGAATTATTGTCACGAATTATTATAAATAATATATTGTCACATTTGCAAAGATATGTTTTGGTTCACCTATTTACTAGAGTTTTTTTTAAGTAAGCAAATGTTATTGAGCTAAATGCTTTTTGTTTGTAGGAAGGTAAACAATGTTGTTAAACCCGATCCGGACCCGCGGTCAGACTAGTATATCCGATGATCAGCTGGAGAATCCGGCGAGTTTAGTGCTAATATCCGCTACATAAAAATCCGTTAAAAACCGATAAAAACCTGATAAACCCGCGACCCGATTAATGGTCGAACCAATGGGTGGCAGGTTTTGAACTATTCAAAAAGTTTGATTTTAAAAATTTTTTATATGATGCTATTTTTTTACATATACTGATTAACAGTCTTGTTTTTTAATTATATATTATATTGACTAAATTATGTAAGTTTTTTAAAAAAAAAGTAATGAAGATTTCACTATACTGCCCGAAAGAAACTGAAAAGAATGATGATAGAGTTAATTGAAGATTGGTTGAGATGATTTGTTTCTTACTTCACTTTCGTTATTAGTAATATTTTTCTTTTGGTTTACTTTAAATTAACTTTATAAATATCGTTATTCATATTAGACATCTACATTCTTAATACACTATTAATTTTATTGTTTTTGTTTTTAGTTTTGGTGTTAATTTTTCACCAAATGTTTTGTGAAGTTAATGCTAATAATTATCATTTTATCAACTTTTTAACTATATTTTCAACATATATATGATATAATCATATATATATATATTATTAATTTATTTACTCGCGGTTGAACTGTGGTTGATCCAATAACCCGCTGACCTGGAATGCGTTTTGGTTCATTGTTCGGGTCGGATTTAAAAACATTGAAGGTAAATGATTATTTCAAAAAGAAAACTTGTTAATTTGGTAAATTTTGATAAGTTACCTTGTATGGAATACCTTTCTAATTCCGTCATAAAAGAAACGCGTTGTAAGGCCGTTTAAAAACAAAAACGCCGTTTTAAGCATAATTGGTCTAAGCGGTTTGCTGTGAAAGAATGGACGGATGTCCGTTAGTATGAGTCTTTGTGTTGGCTTTAACCCTAATTTTATTACAACGGGAGCCTCACGAATCTGACGAAAATTTCTACCAAGAAAATATCGGAATTGTATCGCGAAGATCAAATTTCTCTCAGAAGTCTGATAATCCTGGTGAATTCATCTGTTTCTTTTGTCGATTGTTATATTATCAGCATGAGATTAGGTTTCAATCTGAAGGAGGATTTCATTTTCTAGGGTTTTGCTATCATCTACTTTCTCAAAATCCAGAATTGCTATCGTAAAGGGAAATTTCGGGGTCATCTGTTGAGTTTTTCATTGCAAAAGTATGAAATTTTTGAATTACTGCTGGTATTGTTCGATATCTACCTGTTAGGGTTTCCACGGGACAGGGAATTAGGGTTTTACTGCAATTAGAGATTCTGTGATATTAAGTTAACTACTTTTGGAGTTTAAACTGTTAGTTATGGTTGCGTACAGAGAGGGAAATGCGGGTTACAAATGAAAGAACGATTTTTTAGTTTTTTCTTTTTCTTTTTTGTTGTGAAGCTTGTTTCTAGCAAGCCGAAAACAATTGATCCGATAAAGACATTATTTTTTTATCTAATCAGATGCCTGTTTTGATTGTTCTGCTGATGGATTACTTGTTTTGTTGCAGAACAGACTTAACATTGACACAGCACTGTAGTTGCTGTTTCAAAACCGTGATGGGTGCTCCTAAGCAGAAATGGACTCAAGAAGAAGAATCAGCTTTAAAGTCTGGGGTTATCAAGCATGGTCCTGGTAAATGGCGCACAATTCTCAAAGACCCTGAATTTAGTGGAGTCCTGTACCTGCGTTCCAATGTAGATCTTAAGGTCATGATTCCTTCTTATCCTTTGTGTCAACTTTATGATGCAGCTATATTATTTTTTGTTTGTGATTATGAAATTGAGTTTGTTTTTTGAATTGGGACAGGACAAATGGAGAAATATGAGTGTCATGGCCAATGGGTATGGATCGCGTGAAAAGTCTAGGTTAGCTGTTAAAAGGACGCTCTCTCTTCCTAAACAGGATGATAACTCACTTGCCAATACCACCTCATTGCAAAGTGATGAAGAAATGGGAGATGCTAAGCATTTTTCTACTACTGGCTCTTCTGCATTGCAAGTTTCTGCTACTCCTACTACAAGGAGACCTAATGTAAGGTCAGAGATATCATCTATGTCTATATCTTTTATTGAAGAGGAGATGCTTAGATTTGTTGCATGTCTCAAGAAGGTATTTCTGAAGTTTATAACATGCATTATAACATGCGTTGTTGGATACATCTAAAGAATTTAGGGTTTTCCAGCAGAATCGATAATCCGTCAGATTACATTTTTGTGAAGTGTGTCTCTCTATTCACGCCTTCTGTTTAAATTGACTTCACTGGTTTAGTACATCTACCCTCCCGTTTCAGCTTCTTACTGCATGTTGTATACTTTGGCATGATTGTCCAGATGCTGATTATGTTAGCATGTGAGCCCGTTTGCTCCATCTTAACGCTGTGGCTTATAATTGTGAAATTATGATGAGGGTTTTAAGTGTACAAAGTCCCACTTATGCATAGATGTTAATATCATTGAAATCTATTGTTATAGACAGTTTGTAACTTTTAAAAATGGTGCAGGCTGGATAGCCTTATAATGGAAGCGATAGCTACAATGAAAGAGCCTGGTGGCTCTAATAAAACCACAATTGCTGCCTACATTGAGGTATTGAGTTTTAATTCTTTCTTGCTTTCTTTTTTCATAGACATTATGTATTGTTAAATTGTTGTTTGCAGCTGAATCCGATTTGTTACATTTCAATTTGATGATACTCAGTGCTGTGATATGTTGTCAACTAGAATTTGTGAAGTTATCATTGCGTTTGAAATCCCAATATTGCCTATGATTGCCTCATAGAAAATTTTCTTCAATATAAGCAAGGAATGGGGTCAGTTTTACTGAAAGGCAATAGGTGACATTATCTTCTCCTCTCCTGAATAGACGAAATTGCATTGAATATTTCTGACTCAAATATAGGAATATTGGTTTTAGAATATCAGATATATAGATAACTGGAGATATATATTTAGTTAAAGTATCGTAAGAGTAGATTCTTTATTGATTTCATAAACATGCCAAGAAAATTAGTCTTTCACACGCATGGTTATTTACGTTTCATCATGTGCTATTTACGTTGTTAAGTTCGGGTTTCTGCTATAGTATCACCAAAGTCAATGGTTAGTTCAATCAGTAGATTCTAAATTCTCTGTCTTATTTCTGCTGTCTTGAGATCTCTTGTTTAAATTCCTCGTAAAAGACTGATGCAGGGAATTGACCATGCCCGTGTATCTTTTGTGTGGTTGTATAGGAACAATATCACGCTCCGCCAGACTTCAAAAGGTTGCTATCTACCAAGCTGAAGTTCTTGACAGGTTCTGGTAAACTTGTGAAGGTAAGTTTCACATACATCCAATTAACGTATTTGACCGCAGATATTTATGTTTTGAACAGTATGTTAAAGTCTTTGTGCAATCAACTTACTTCATGGTTGTTAGTAGAACAGCGACATGCTTCACTCACTGTGACTTGTGAGGTTTTATTGATCCGGGTTATCTCTTTTACAGGTTAAACGCAAGTACAGAATTTCGAACTCCACTCCTTTGTCTTCCCAGAGGAAAAGAAATATGGGGTCATCTTCCGGAAAACAGAGCATTCATTCTTTGCCTTCACAAACAGACGGAGATGAAGTGAGTGTTCAGACGAGGTCACAGATTGATGCAGAGCTAGCCAAAATGAAGACTATGAGCGTACATGAGGCGGCAGCAGTTGCAGCACAGGCAGTTGCAGCGGCAGAAGCTGCCATGGCTGAGGCTGAAGAAGCTGCAAGGGAAGCAGAGGCAGCAGAAGCCGAAGCAGAAGTAGCTCAAGCTTTTGCTGAAGAAGCTGCAAAGACATTGAAAGGAAGAAATACCTGCAAAGTGGTAAAAACATATTCTTTTATCACAACGCGTGAAATTCATGACACACGAAAACTTTAAATCTCAAAATGGTTGTATTGAATATGTGTTTCAGCAGATGATCCGTGCTTGAGGTGCTGGGGAGAGAGCAGAAGAAGAAGCACAATGTGTTGCATGTGAAGAGAGATAGAGAGAGAGAGAGAGAGAGAGAGAGAGAAGCGTAGTAGTGTTTGTGTGTTGATGATTCTCTACTTGGGAACTCTTTTAGTTGCAAGCAGCAATCGTATGTGTCTATTACTTATTTACTTGTTTCCTCAGGCACAGTTTTATATCTCGTTCTGTGGATTTGTAAACCATCAAAAATTTCAATCAAGTTTAGGAATTTTCATGTACATATAAAAGGCCAGTGACTAGCGTATAATTTATCTAATTTTTGTTGTTCTTCATAATGATGCATACAGGATCTACAAATTTGAATGATGCAGCAAACTCAGATTCATCTTAATATGGTACAACTCCACCACATATATCTTAACACTGAACCGTTTAAAACTTGGTTCCAATCAAACTCAAACAAAACCAAATAACAAACGAAATAGAACAGCTTTTCTACTATCAGCGAGTAAATGGACTTTACTCAAAACCAAAGGAACATAATCTTCTAAAGCCATTGTATTCTTCTTCACACTTCACTTTACAGCCAAAATAAGTTTTTAAAACTCAAAACATAGAATGCTACAATAATCTTCTTTGCGCAACAAACGTAGCAACCAATACAACACCAAGTCGAGTTAACTCTGCTGATTCTATAGTTCCTGACCTGACTATACAGGAGGATTTGGGTATGCTTTAGGTTTCGGTTTCACTTCGATTTCATTAACATTTCGGACAAAGATGGCGTCTGGTTCATGCCTGCGAAAACCCAACATTCAAGAACCGGTTAAAGAAGAGATCAATCCAATCCAAAAGCAAACACATTAATGTCTGTAGAATGCTACGGCACTTTTACGCCTGATGAGATCTAGTAGCTTTATAGAGAGTGAGAGAGATTCTTACGGTTTGTCTCCCTCTTCAAATGTGTAACTAGAAGCAACAGCCAGTAGTCCACCATCTCGGCTGAATGACAGCGCCGCAATACTCGTTGGATACTTAGAGTACTACCAAATACAAGGAAAAAAACAAAGGACCAATTAATTATGTGTCTCACTTACCAAAAGCACACTGAAAGTATATATATATCAAAAGTTCTTGTCATTGCTAAACCTGATATAGCCTCTTCTTGTTGTTACCATCCCATATGTTGACAAAACCATCACAACCTCCGGTAGCAAAAGTGCCATAACTACAATTTCAAAACCATTGGGTTATTAGAAGCCATAGACTTGCGCTACTGGACAGATAACTTATATCTTTAATTTTTTTCCCTTGGGTTCCATATGAAAAGTGCACCCAAGACCAAGAACAAACATTAGCAAATTAAAAAAATTAGCATCCACAATACTCCAAACTATCCCTCCACGTATATGTTTCATATCAGCAATTACACAGCTAGCTGTTCTATTCAGCATTATATTTTCATTTTCACCATTTAAAGTAACAACTTTCTCTTTTAGCTGTCCATTTCTATGAAAAGTTGATTTAGTCTAGAGGCAATCATATATCTGAAAGGAGACAATCAGATTCCTTCTAAGATAAAGACTTACATCGGATGGAAGGCAATCGCATTCACAGGGTAGACGATGTCCCTTCCATCCTCGGATTTCCGGTGACATTTGAAAGCATATCTGAAAAGAGGTTGAAATATAATTGTCAAATTAAAAAAAAAGGTCAAATTCTTCATAAAGAGGTAACAGGTAAACAATTAGGAACATACTTTTTAATTCTTCAAAAAGAGGTAACAGGATAACAATTAGGAACATACTTTTTAGCTTGAGCAGCCTCTGATAGATCAAAAAACTCCATTGACACCCTCCCTTCCACAGAGCTAAGTGCGTATCCTGCAGAGTATTAATAAAATCAAAAGTGTGGAAGAGGAAATTGATGCTACTGAGTAAACTTGGAACAGGAAGATAGCAACTCTGACTGTTGGAAAAAAACCACTGAAAGCAACATGTCAGCTATTTAACCTGTTCCATTGGGATAACAACGCACACATCTGGTCTGGTACTTAAGTGAGGACTCCCTTCTTTGCTCAGGCTGGGACATATTCCTGAGATCATAAATGTTGACATGCCTTCCTGCTGTTGCCACTACCAAACGATTCCCAACAAGAGAAATAGAGTTCACACGCTCAGGTTGCTGATATGTTCCAATCTGTGTGCGCTCAGGCCCACTTGCAGCTCTTGGGTCCCAGCATTTAATTGTTTTATCCCAACTTCCAGTGATCACTTGCCCTACAACGTCACATAAACATTGTGTTCAAGTATACTGTGGCACAACGAGAAGCACCAAAATGTAGAAAGCTGATTTCTGAGTTCCAAGTAAAGTTGCAACGTTGAAAGAAATTCTATGCGCTAAACACAAGGAGCAATAAATAAGCCACTATTAGACATATTTCTTTCAACGTTAAATATAACAGGATGGCTAATATCTAGACATCAAAACAATCAACTGGCAGCAAGGTAACAAAGCATCAAGAACATCATTACCACTTTACCAACCTGCAGCATAAGAATACTCAACACATCGAACTGGTTTATCATGCGTTCCGAGAATGTCCTCTTTGCCAGCATTGAAGTCGATTCTGAAGTATAACAAGAGAAACAACAAACCCCAATTATTTCGAATTCACAAAACATTTTCTAAACACGATAAACCCAGATAAGTTTTCTTTCAAGGATCCTACTTTTCACAGATAAATTTACATAGGCAATACTTTTAACAGTTGATGAAAACTGAGGGAGAAATCAAACAACAGATAAACTATCAATCAATATGACATATTCTCTGCTGGAAACATTTATTTTACTCTAGTAGCCCCCGATTCAAAATTAAGACTGTATACATATCTAATTCACTGTATTTGGCACAACCCATGTCTACATAACAACTTAATTTTAAAATTTCTGAATTTTTCAATAACTAAGAGAATCGATTGTACTCTCCTACATCACCAGTAACACTAAATCAAAGGAATAGTCAAAGCTTTATCTAAACCACCTCGGAAAAAAAAAAAGATCAAGGACAGATCAAAATAACAGACCGTCTAACTTTATTATCGCCACAGACACTGAATCCAGAAGAATCGTCATGAAAGCAGCAATCGAGAACCGGCCCGCCATGCTTGAACTCCCCTCTCATCGAATCGGCGTTCGCATCATACAATCTTACACTCTTCGACCACAAGCACAGATCAAAATAATCAGATTAAGACATATGAGACTTCAAACGAGCAGCAAAATCAATGTCCGAGAGAAGAAAGGGGTTTCTAACCTTATCCCATGAGGACACAAGTAGATGATCGCTGCTATTAGAAAACCGGAGGTTCGAAATCCCATCGGACGGCGGATTTGAGAGCTCACGACCAACGGTCGGTACCAAACTCATCCTGAAGAACACAAATCGAATTTTAGGGTTTATGCTGGAGAGAGAGAGAGGGAGAAGTCAGTAGATTTGCAGAAAATGAGCGTTTGAATTTCAAATTCTCGCCGTCGAATCTCTGTTAGTATATGAATACATTTTGTTGTTACACGCTAAACTGGGCCGTACAATCTCTGGTAATGGGCCTTAAATTAGGCCCATATATTACATTAATACGACGCCAGAAAAGAATCAGAAACCGTGGATATTTCCTTTTTGGTTTAGGTAAGTAAAACAAAAAAACTTGTCTAGGGGATCAAAGTTTCTTTTCTGAAACGGGAAAAGTTTCCTTCTTTGGTTTTACATTGTTTTGTTATTGGATTAAATAGTTTTTGACCTAATAATGTTTTATTAGGGTTAACCTTTTTGTCTAGTATAGTTCCTTCTTTCACACTCTCACTCGTAAAACGGAAAATTTGAAAAGTTTACCTTTTTTTAACTACTGATTTTTACAATTAACAATAAAGATTGAGCTAATTTAGAATATTCCGGGATCCTATAAAGATATCTTTCTTTTTTTTTCTGATCGAATATATCTTTCTTTTTTACCAACTCCCTTTCTATTTTTCAATTACTAATAGACTTGGTAGTTATACCGTCTATATATATGTGTGAGAAGTAAGACATGAGCACCCATAAACGGTCACTAGTCACTCACAAAGTTTCACAAAAAGGGTTCCTTAAAAAAAAACAAAACAGATATGGATCTTAGTCAAACCCTAATTCAACTATCGCCGTCAACAAGGTCCATTGTTTTGGAGATTCTTATGGGAGAGGCAGAGAAACAAGGGTTTGATGTAGAGAAGAGTGTCGCTCGTGTTAAGTATGCGTTGCAAAGTTTTGAACGATCAAAACCAATGCTTTCTCCTGAGGATCCTTCCTATAAACGCATATGCTTAGAATCCCGGCAAGAACAAGAACAAGAAAAAGAAAAAGAAAAAGAAGAAGAAGAAGAAGAAAAAGAAGAAGAAGAGTGTGCATACGACGTCGTTTCAATGGAGACTATGTCGGGAAGTAGTGAATATTCTGTACGACAGTGTTCAACTAATAATGAGGGTTCTTCTCCCTCTTCTTCTGAGACGGTGACGCATAGAATTTCAGAATTGCGGCGACAAGAAGAACAAGAAGAGTGTGCAAACGATGCCGTTTTGATGGAATATAGTGAACAGTCATCTCGGCATTGTTCTAGTGATAATGTTGATCCTTCTCCCTCTTCTTCTGAGACTGTGGAACTAAGAATCTCAGAATTGCGTCGAGAAGAAGAAGAAGAAGTCGAGTGTGCAAACGACGCCGTATTTTATAGGCCTTGGTTGGATTATCGTGTTGGTGATAATGAAGATCTTTCGTCTTCTTCTATGTCTCAAGATGATATCGCTGCTCTCATTCTCCTCAAACTCTCCCGTCGTGCGCCTACGCAACCGCAAACGCAGCCTCAAACGCAGATACAACATCAAACACAACCGCAAACGCAGCCTCAACTGCAGATACAACAATACCAAGCAGAACCGCAAACGCAGGCTCAAGTGCAGATAGAACAACATCAGGCGCAAACGCAAACGCAGCCCCAACTGCAGATACAACATCAGGCGCAAACGCAAACGCAGCCCCAACTGCAGATACAACATCAGGCGCAAACGCAACCGCAGCCTCAAATGAAGATAGAACAACATCAGGGGCAAACGCAACCGCAGATGCAGTCAAATTCTGAATCGTACACGTGTACTGTCTGTGGAAAAGAGTTTAGTTCGTATCAAGCATTAGGGGGTCACAAGGCTAGCCACCGGCCTAAGCCAGCACAACCGCTTGTTGAAAACGCAACCGCAGACGCTGAAGTTAAAACGGGGAGAAAGATGCTGGCTCCCTCTGGGAAAATCCACAAGTGTTCTATGTGTCATCTTGTGTTTCCGACGGGACAAGCTCTCGGTGGACACAAACGCCGCCACTTCGATGGCATTCTAAGCGGTAACAAACGAAGTCACGACGAGGCTAATCTTGGAGGAGACAAGTCAAGTCCAAGCAATGAGAGTAGTAAGTTATTACGTGATTGGATTGATCTTAATGAAGATCCGTTGCCGTGAGTTTGGCAATAACTCCGACGAGGTTGGAACTTGGAAGTGCACTAGTAGCGAACAAGCCTTGGGTTATTTTTGATGATTTTTTTTTATAGTTTTTACTTTTTAACATTTACTGGACTAGAAAAGTTACACCCTGTGTAATGTATAAAATTGAATACCAAAAAAATTTGGTTGATTGTCTTACTTATCATTGGAGTTTAAAATCCTACTGCATTCACGAGAAGTTAAAAAAAAAAAAGGAAAGCAGAAGGAACGATTGAATTTTTTGAAGTGACAGTGTGTCTTGTTTTACTTGTACTTTAGTGTTGACAGATTCCTTCGAGGATTTTCAACAGACAGACAACAACGCGTCGATGCACGGAAACTAGAAACGACAACAAGTCTAGAACTAAAAAACAAAGGAAGACAAAATCAGTGATTCATACATTACTTTTATATGTACACAACCCAAAGAACCATTAGAAAAGCTTTTGTATACAAAACTAAACTTACTTTAGAGGCATTACCAGCAATCTTACATAAGAAAACAAACGTAGAACTACGAGAAGCAAGAGAGAGCTTAGAGAGAGAGAGAGACGATGATGATAATAAAACTGTGAATCTCACCTTAATCTTGGGTTGAAAACGATAAGGTCGGGATTCGAGGAAGGAAAAGGCCCGTGTTAGCAAATCTGTTCTTGGTGAGAATAGTTCTAGTAAAAAAGAACAAATCTGTTCTCTCGAGGAAGATCAGTTTTTCTACAGTTGTGAAGTCAAGCTGCTTGTGATTGGTATCCGACTTAGTTGTATTATGTGCGTCTTCATGCTACAATCTGAAACCTGTTTGTTTGCGTTTACCCCAGATCATTATCAGAAGAGAGTATACATCGCAGAGCAAGACGAGAAATGGGGATAAAGATTCTTTACCTGCATAGCTGCTACTCTTGATAAGAAACCTTGACATCTTTCAAGCAAAACCTTTTCCTTTGCAGTTATATTCACAGTTTCGACCATTACAGAATTCATTTCATCAACCTATCCATGATAATAACATTCGTCATCGACATGACTGAGTTTAATCCATAAAAGACAAGGGTTTTGTACAAGAATAGCCCAAGAGTCCAAGACAGTTTACATTTTTCAAACCAAACATGTTCAACAGACTCAAGACATGTGTTTGTAACTTTTAAAAACCGATTTAAAGTTAATTACTGAGAGAGGCAGAGTATATTACCTTCAACGTAAGCGAGAATATGGAAGATGACATAGCTTGCATTACATCGACGGCTGAACTAACAGCATGCTTAAGGTCTTGGATATCAACCTAAACAATTCGAGAAGCATATTAGATTATTGTTAACCAAAGGTTTTAAAATTAGATCCAAACAATCATATCAGGGCTTATTATGTCACAGAGGTACTTACCACGGTTTTTCCAACAATTGGTAGACGCAGTGTGCTGGCTTTTAAGGCTTCAGTGGCTCCCGACAAAGAATTTGAATGATCTCTGTCTAGAAGAGACCATTCTTCTAGATAGCCCATCTACAATTTAACAAATACACGAATTAATTTACTATTACTTAAATGCAACACCTACGGGGATGTACTAGACTACTAGTAATACCGTTTTCATTTCGAAATCTCATGTTTCCGTGTAAGAGATTCCGAATGTTGTGGGAGGTTCTAAAAAAGCAAGTAAGTATACCAACTTCTACAGGTAGATATAAAATCTACCTACCATACATAAATACTAAATTAGAGTCCATATTCATTTGCTAAACGCATTACAGGACAAACACAATCCTGCAATAATTGAGTTATATCCAAAACGTTCTTTTCTTGTTACAGAAAGAAGGAATCACTAAGCCAAATTCCGTAGAATATCTGTCTTATGTCTCAAAAACAGAAAGAACGAAAAAAATCTTAATTGGAACATTGGCCCTTAAAGTAAAAAATCGTTAAATCTTAAGAAGAGTTTCACATTCTTACCTGTCCTCTCAGAATAGAAGCCAGCTTCAATTTCTGCCTTAGCAAAAGCAGCTTGATTCGTTTTAACGTAACGCTGTGGCGCAGTTCCGAGATTGACACCCATGCATTCCACAGGTTTTTCTGGGAGAGAAAAACAAAAAGTAAATTCGCATTCTAAGCTATGCCAGAAACCGCTTGAAACAATGGCTTTTAGCTACCTATACTATACTCTGACTCATCTTCTATGAAGAAAAAAATTGACTACTCTTCCACAGTTCTAGTTCGGTAAGATTAGCACACTCATGCTTAATCTCCATCTAAGTCATGATTTATCTGAGATGATGACACCTCGCATGAGCCTAAACGATGAGTTTCCATAAATATCTATGAATCTTGCAGCATTGGCTACAAGTATCTACAATCCGGAAGGGACACAGAACCATAATTGTAAAGTTATCGACCAGGAAAGGAAATGAAAAAACTCATAAGCCATACCTCTGCATTCAATCTTTGCACCATTAAAGTAGAGTCTGCCCTCGCATTGACAAACCGCCACTGTAGGTAACGGTTGTATAGAAGCCTCACCAAATGTGCATCCATAACACGATCTTCCCCAATTTTCCCTCTCCTAATATCAGCAGAGAAACTAAGAATCGAAGGAGTGTTGTTGCGGTTATAAGCGTTCATCTGATCAGAAACTCCATTTCTGGCTCGAGAAGGACTCGAGAGTGCCCTGGCTGGAGATGACGTAGTAGTCGCCCAAAGCTTACTCGGTGAAGCAGAGCGAATAGCAGAACCTCTTACAGGAGAAGCCATACCACGAGGAGATGATAAAGGAGCAGCATCACTAGAAAACCGTTTCGAAAGACCAAACTTTGATGATACACTACTGGTTTTCAAACCAGGGCTAGAAGATAAAGGTGAGCCCGGATCCTGCAGCCGCCTTAACCGGCTATTAGTCTCTTGCCAGAACCTAGCAGAAGCCATTATATTACGAGGCAAGCTTTTTGACTTAGAGATATCTCCATTAACACCAGAGCCACATTCCTGG